CCACCACTCACCCCGACCAGCAAAGGGCGGCCCGTCGAGGCGTACCTCGAGGCGGCGCGCAGGAGGGCCTTCCCCCAGAAGGCGCGACGCAAGAAGCGGACGCCCCCCTACTGCTACCCCTTCCTCCCGCTGGGCTACCTGCTCCGGGGGATGCTGGCGTGCGTGGAGGGCGGCCTCGACCTGATCTACGGGCCCTCGCCCAACCACAAGCTGTTCAAGAAGGACCGCGTCCGGGCCCGGCGGCTGGCGGCGCGCAGGGAGGCGCTGCGCACCGCCGAGGAGCTCTACAAGATCTACCGGGGGGAGAACACCAAGTACCTCGCGCTGGCGGGCGAGTACGACAAGGCCGCCGCGCTGGCGGCCATCAAGCGCTCCGAGGCAGAGAAGGCCGAGCTGGCCGCCAGCAGGATGGAGGTGGCGGCCGAGGGGGGCGCGCCGGACGGCCAGGCCAAGTCGGCGGCTCGGCTGGCCAGAGCCCTGGCCAACTTGGTGAAGGCCGAGGCCGACGAGGCTTACCAGACTAGCCGAGAGAAGAAGGCCACTGCCGACAGGGCCGGTGAAATAGTGGCAGACGCCAAGATAGCCACGATGCAGGCCTGCTCCGAGAAGTTCGTCGTGGCCTTGCAGAAGAAGCACTCTCAGATCCAGCAGGTGACGTACTACTTGTTCCGCGGGCCCACCAACCCCAACACCCTCCTCGACCTGAGCATGCCTCCGATCATGCCGCCGGGCGGGCCCCCGTACGAGGCCCCGACGCCCCTCTTCGGCTCGCACCGCTGCGGCCCTCTACCCCCAGAGGTCGCCGTCATCATCTACACTACCGCCCAGCCCTGCCTCATTGTCAGCCCCGACATCAAGTCCACGGACGATCTGCCCTGGTACAAGAAGATCTTTCGCTTCCGCTCGGGAGAGGCGGCGGCGGCGACGACGACGACGACGCCGCTGGCCGAGGACGAGCAGTCCAAGAAGCCCAAGAGCCGCCGAGGAGGTTTCTTCGGCAAGTGGCGCCTCCGCACCAGCCTGAAACTGCGGGCGCGGTAGGTAGAGCGCAGGAATAAGTCGCGCGACGCACCCGAAACCGCGCTTGGAGGTAGAGCCATCGACCCGACCGCGCCGGGCAGGACGGGCAGCGCGCTCGAGCGACAAGTGGTTGCAGGGCAGGGCCGGGCAGGGCCGCGACCCAGCCGCGTGCCCGGGGCGAGCTAGGGCTGGGGCGAGGCGAAACACGGCAGGGCAGGGCAGGGCGCCCCCGAGACGGCCCTCTCCTTCACTGCTTGCACCTTTACTGCATGTATTTTCTGAAATAGCGGAATGGGACCCTCTTTTTTTCTTTTTTTTTTAGCAAAATTCCGATCTATCGCGGCCGACCTTTGGCCAAACGCTTCGGCGGGTCCCGGGGTCGCCTCAATCTCAGCGCGGCGGCCATCTTGTCGTGTCGTGTTCATGCGCCTGGGGCGGCGAGCGAATTGGAACGTTCTTATTACCGTTTTTGGTGAAGGCTTTTCCGTTTCCGTGAAATGGATTGTCGGCCGTAAATTCAGGGTGGGTACCACTTTTTGGCACACGCCGAGCCCAAAGATCCCTTGCAGATTCTATTTCTCTCCCATTTCCGACGGTGTTAGAGGCTGCGCATGTCGTAGACAGCGCGGCCGAATGTCATCTGTTTCCTCCCCACTTATGAGGGGCAAGCCCGGGGGAGGAGCCGGGCGGGTGGAGAGTGACGCTGGGGATCAATAAAATCAGACTGTTCGGGTACCGCTCGCCAAATGGCCGAACGGCAGTCGGGGGGCGTCGCCGTCGTGATTCGTGCTCGGGTCCGTGACGGGATGGGATGGGGGTTGCTGCTGCTGCCGCCGCCGCTTCTACGGAGACTCCGGAGACGGTGACGGAAGGATCGAGAAAAGAGGGGTGGGAGACTCAGGCTGCAGGCGCTGCAACGCTCCCACCACCCCCTCCAGCAGCAGC